AAAGCCAAGAGCAGCCTACACAGTCTGACCTTCAAAGCGAAAAATGTCTCATCAGTTTAGAGGTTGAGACTTCCGGGTCTTGTCAAATATACAAAGGTTTCCAGGAAGTGTTAAGAGAAAGTTTGAACAAGTGAGAATGTTTATCCCCTTGCAGCAAGTTGGCCAGTCTGCTTCATGTATAGTGTATGCTCTTTGCCGTTGGAGAGATGAATTTATTTCCATTGCACAATGTAGGGAACTTGAGTTCATATAGACAAGCTCTTTTCCCAAGGCCACGCAGCAGGGACCAAGGATCTAAGTTAAGATCTGGTTTAATTCCCAAGCTCTTTCCAGCAAGGGCAGGACTATCCCTTAGGCATTTTTCTAACAATAATTTTCGCTTTAGGAGAAAGACTAGACAGTGTTTTGTCTGACCTTTCCAATTATCTGACGAGCCCAGTGTTAATCAGCTGAGTCAGAATTGATGACCTCAGGATGGCTTAAGCCCCAAACCATCTTCTGATGAAATGATAAAACAAGACTGCTAGGCTAATTAACAAGTCCAAAAAATTATGTGAGCCCCAATGATGCCATTGCTTCTGGCCCATCCCACACCTTTCCCAAATAAGAAAGCAACTAATTTGCAAAATCCTGGCTTCTGTGCAGCAGCTGTGAGAGCCACTGACATATATGATTAGCATAAAATTAATTCCTGTTGGGGGAGCATTATTACCGCCCCTGATGCAGTTCAGAAAGTGATTAGTACTGTGTGGAATGGTGGGTACCACTTTTTGAAAACTCCTGATGAAATCTGTGGGGAATATAGTTTTCTACATAAACCTGGGATACACATTTTGCATAAAGATCGTGTGTTTACTCCACTGCCTCAGTCCATTTCAGCTGAAAAATGTCATAGACTTGGTGATTCTCAAATTGGGATCCTAGGAACTCCAGGATCAATGAACAGGCTGATTTGTGTGTGGTGAGAGCTCACTTCCTGGCTCACACTATCCTCAGGTGCTGTGAAGGGTTGCACCCTCCTGGGACTTCTGATAAGGACACTAATCTGTACTCCCATCCTCATGACCTTGCTGCCTCTCAAATGCCCACCTCTTGAATTTTGAAAGGACATGTTGACTCTGAGTCAGCTATTTTGTGCAGTGGTTTTTCTCAGTGATTTGAGATGTAGAAAAATGTATTGGCGTGCAAATGAGTCTTTTGTAATATTTCCATGAGTAATTTGATGTAGAAGACAATTATGGTGATTTAAATCCTTTAAGTTAAATGTACTTTAACTGAGCTGAAACTCTAATTTCAAATGGAAAAGAAAAACAAGTGAGTGAATCTGCTCTAGTCCTGTATGGGAGCCATGTGTCCCGATGATAGCAAACAACACAGCGGAGACTCTTACCTACAGTAGACAGCTGCAGCTTTGGTTTCAGGCCTTTTCTGATAGCTTTCTCCTTTAACTAAATATCACACAATACGTTGAAGTCACTTATGGTAATAATATGAAGAAGTTTTGCGCTAAGCTTTTTCCAGAAACATCATTTTATTGCTTTTCTACAATATATTGTATTGTATAGATGGGCATAATTTACTTGGTAATTGCCTAAATGTCAGACTTTATATTTGTTTTCAGTTTCCACTACTACAGATAATGACGTGATGCTTGTCTTCCTACATGCTGCTTTATCTGCGTTTTAATTTAGTTCCACTGATTTGCTACAAATGCAATTACTTGGTCAAAGCAGTTTCTGGATACAATTTTGGGTATAAACATTGTTAGATAGACTTATTTTCTTTTTAGCAATAGCTATAATATATTCAAGGACAAAAGGGCTCTCTGGGACCTCTTTGATAATGGCACTAATCCTGTCCTGGAGGATTCTGTCTTTATTTGTAAATACATCCCAAAGGCCTTACCTAAAGTCCTATCTAGTAAAATAACCCCCCTTTCAAATGAAGGAAAATACGAACACTTTCAGACAAACTGAAATCGAAACAGTTATTGCCTTTAAGCATACATTAAATGAAATATTAAAGGATTTTCTAAGACAGAAGAAGAGCTTATCTCCAATAAAAATATGGAAATACAAGAAATAAAGAGAATCAGAAAAATGTAAAGACGTGGACAAATTTAAATGTCAAATCTACATAGCAATAATAACTTAAAACATGCAGAGAATGAATAGATAAAACCACGCAAAGTGTGACAGCAAGGTAAGAGAATTAAACTTTACAAAGTCCCTTCATGTATGAAAACTGAGTCAAGGAACCATTTTTATTGGACTTGAACAGGTTGTTATAATCACTGGGTAATCATTGAAGGAAATGCAAAATAGTGATAACTAGGGAGGCAAGATGGATGGAACTGAAAGATAATTCAGAATCTTTTCAAAAATGCAAGCGTGATGGTGGTACCCCCCCCCACACACACATATTAGCAACTGTGTTGACTGTCAATGGACTAAACAGGTTGATTAAAAATGTAACATCCCTATTGACGAAGGCGAGGGTGCAACCAGAGACTTGAGACATGAAGGCAGAGAGGTGATGGAGGTGGATGGGAACAAGGCATATTTAAAGTTATGGGGAGAAGAGAAGGGAAAGGAATCACCAAAACCAGATTCTGCTTGAAAATGCCATAGTAAAATTCAATTCTGTATGTGCCAACTAGAACATAAAATAGAATACATAGCCGTGAAAGATATTATGGTTGATTTACATCAACTGACAACAAATTAGGATCTTCTGAGGATGGAATTTCAGCTGCAGAACTGTCCTGATTGTTTTGATTGACAAGGCAATGCCCACCCACACTGAATGTGGGCGGCACCTTCTGGTAGCAGCCCAGATTTTTAAAGAAAAGGCATGGCAGAAAGAAGTTCATCTTGCATTTTGCTTGCTTGGCCTCCCTTCTTGCTGCTACTGATTCTACCTCTGACAACGGAACTAGAATTTCCAAGCTCTCATTGTGGACTCGGGACCAGCGGCTCTCTGGCAGTCTTTCAGGTGGGTTTCCGGCACCAGATTGGGAGTGCAGAGGCAGCCTGCCAGCATTAGTGAGAGGCAGCTTCTGTGGGGCTACTCCCTACTTGGCTGGTGAGGCAGCAGCCTCAAGGAAGGAGCAACTACCAATCTCTCAGCTTCTCAGTATGATTTGACTAGTGTCACTATCTTAAAGCTTATTTAATACATTCTGATAAGTATGTGTGAACATATATATGTATATTTATCACATATATGTGTGTGTGTATATACATATACAGTCATTCTCTTGGTTATTTGCCCCTAGAGAAGTGGTTCTCAATCTGTGAGTCATGATCCCCCCAGATAGGGTTACAAGTCAGATATCCTGCTTATCAGGTATTTGCATTTTGATCCATAACAGTATCAAACTTACAGTATGAGGTGGCAACAGAATGATTTTATGATTGGGGGGTCACCATAACACGAGAGACTGTTATAAAAGGGTCAAAGCGGTAGGGAGGATGAGAGTTACTGCTCTGCAGGAAACTAAAACACTAAACACATGCATACAAATAGAAAAATGAAACCTCTCAAAATTAAAAAAGACTGAAGTATAAGAACACAAAAGAGCACTTTACCCGAGGCCAGGCCAGATCTAGGGTCCCCAGATAAGACATTGCACACTGCCTGCTAACACTCCTTAGAACTTAACCAACAACCCCAGACTGCACTCCCTCCTTATTAGAATCACACCTGACTTCTCAATGGAGACCCTAAAGTCCAGAAAAGCCTGCAGTCTTGCAGACTCTAAGAGACCACGGATGCCAGTCCAGACTACTATACCCAGCAAAACTTCCACTCATCATAGAAGGAGAAAACAAAAACAAAATTCATAAAATGTTCAAATGTAAACTATATCTATCCACAAATCCAGTCCTACAGAAGGTAACCCGAGGATAGATATGCAGATCTGGAAGATTATTGAGATGTATAAATGAGTACTATAAGTGAATGTACCTAGCTCATTGTGTGGTCCCCAAATGCCCAGCAATCTACATCCTGGTGTGGTTAGCAGCCGAAATAGAATGTCCCAGACTGGATGACCTAAATGATGGGTACTCTTTTCTAACATTTCTGGATGGTGAATAGTTGATATCAAGGTCATTTTTAATATGAATTCTTGTATGGGTGCTTCTCTTGGGTAGACCTGTTCTCTGTGTCCTCCCTTGGAGAGAAGATAAGCAAGCCCTCCGATGTCTGTCCCTCCACTTAAGGATGCTGAAACTTGTCACATTAAGGCTCCATCCTGTAACCTTATATAATATTTTTTCTTTTTTTTTATAAATTTATTTATTTATTATGTATACAACATTCCTTCCATGTATGCTTGCATGCCAGAAGAGGGCACCAGATCTCATTATAGATGGCTGTGAGTCACCATGTGGTTGCTGGGAATTGAACTCAGGACCTTTGGAAGAATTAACCTGTGAACCATCTCTCCAGCCCTATAATATTTTTTTCTGTTAAGACTATGTAGCCTAGACTGGCCTCAGGCTCACAGAAATCCTGCCTCTGCCTCCTGACTGTTGGAATTAAAAACATGTGTCACTACACTATACCAAATCTTGCATAATCTTAATTATTTCTCGGAGTGATTTGAATGAGGAAAATCTTTCAAAGGCTTGGGCATTTGAATGATCAGTTCCTCAGTTGGTGGCTCTGTTTGGGAGGCATAGGGTGAGCCTTGCTGAAGGAAGTGCATCATTTGGAGCCTTCAACTGTGTTGGCTTTAAGATTCAAGCCTCCCCTACATTGTTTGCTTCCTTTACTTTGTGATCTCAGCTTCCTGTTGCAGCCATGTCTGGGGCCTACTTCCTGTTGCAGCCAT